TTTCACCTTGTAAAGACCAAGTGGACAGGCTCATGGATGGATGCAAGATACCGACAAATGCCACTATCAACAATTATGATAATAATGATAATGATGATGATGATAAAATAATAATAATAATAATAATAATAATAATAATGATAATAATAATGATGATGATAACAATAATAATAATAACAATAATAATAATAAATAATGACGATAACAAATGGTGATAATAATGATAATAATAATCAACACCATCATCATAATAGTTAAATAGTAGTAATCTCAATTATAATGATTATGAAGCATATAATGACGATAATAATTATCATAATCATAATACATGTAACAGTATTTTTACAGTGCATATCCGCTGAACGGCAAGCTCTAAGCATTTTAAAAACTATATATATTATTACACCAGTTAACACACACACCCACAAGCATGCACGCGCACACACACACACACACAAACACACACACACACACACAAAATTTGAATTATAGCCGGTTGCAGAGGTTCCGGAATGAATATCTCAAAGTCAAAGTCATCCAGATCTCTCTGTCTCCCTCTCCTTCCCTCTCTCTCTCTCTCCCCCTCCCTTTCCACCTCTCTCTCTCTCTCTCTCTCTCGCTCACACGCACACACACACACACACAACCAACCTTGCCAGAAGCGATCATGGCCGGGTGCAGAGGTTCCGGAATGAACACCTCACGGTCAAAGTCATCAAGATCTCTCTGTCTCCCTCTTCCTCCCTCTCTCTCTCTCCCTCCCTTTCCACCTCTCTTTCTCTCTCGCACACACGCACGCACACACACACAACCAACCTTGCCGGAAGCGATCATGGCCGGGTGCAGAGGTTCCGGAATGAACACCTCACAGTCAAGGTCATCAAGATCAAGCGGGCTGGGCGCCCTCAGAGTCCAGCCCTCCTCCAGACACTTCTGCGACGACAGCTGGTAGTTGATGGTCTTCATCTGACGCGCCACTGGAGGAAAGAACAAGTCACATGACACCAATTAAAGATCGTTGCCATGACAACCTGGCTTCCAGGAATTAAAATTCTAGAAGCTTTGTCTAATTGTCCGAGCTTTTGATGTTTTGTTTTGAGATTAAATATTTTTTTAAAACCACAAATTGTGACAAATCTACCATAAGCCATCACTAGAAAGCTGTTTTCTGAACTGTCCTATAACTGTTACATGGTCTCAAAACTAATATAAGAATTATTATCAATATCTGATTCTTTAGAACTTTTAAAGCAAACGTATCAGAAACTAAAAGAAAAACAAAGGTATTTCGAAATGTTATTTTAATCTTTAAAAAAAAAAAAATAGACTGTACACAGCCCGGTGAGCTGCTCGCTCAACTTACATGTGCAGCCACATTTCAAAGTTTTCACGTCTTATTTTTTTCCTTCCATCTTTTCAGCTTTCTGCTGCAAAAATAATGCTCTGCAAATTCTCCTACTTCATTTCAACTCAAAGAATTTCTGAACAAAGTTACTATAAGCTGTAAATAGTGCGGTCGTGTATTTCAGGTTTGTACATTTTGCATTCAATGAAATATTAAAGTGAATAAAATTTTGTATAGAATATAACTACCGTACTATTTTTGAAATTATTGTCTTACAAGAGCGTAGTTTCATTTTACTTTTCATCTTTTTCTGAAGAAAAAGTGACTGGTAAAATCTATACAATAGTAAAATGATACGATTTCCCTTTTATTTTTCTTATCAAATAGATCTAAAATATGCATTCTACTGGTGCAACCAATATTACTTGATGTATAATTTTTTTGGTGAGAAAAGAGGAGATTTGATTCATATCATTACAGTTATTTATTCATTCACAATTTTTGCAAAGAACACTATCATTTAACTATCATTACATATTAAATAAGTCCAATGAAAATAATTTTATGCCATTCACATTAACTTTTGTTCAGTGTAAATAATAATTAATTGCGATGAAGTAATGGGTGGGTGCAGAATTATATCCTTTATCATGTGTGCGCCATGACAACTGACAGCATAAAATGCTCACAGCACACAAGCGTAAGGCACAGCAAACACAAAATACCAAAATATTTATATACAGCTTTATAAAAAAAAATCACAGACAAAATAAACCATTCATAGTAACGCGGATGTAGAATAATAATTTTTCACAAACTATATAATATTATAAATTTATGTGCGCAGCCTAAGTGTGCGTGTGTGTGTGTGTGTGTGTGTGTGTGTGTGTGTGTGTGAGGAAAACGTCCTAGGTGGAGCGGGGAAAAAAGTAGGTCTTTACCAAATTAAATTTTTGTTCTAGTTGGTTTGTTTGTTTGTTGGTTTGTTTGTTTGCCTGTGTGTTTGTCTGTCTGAGGTCTGTCTGTGAGTAAAGAGCAGCCCTTTTAAACTATAGCGAAAGTTTAGTGCAGGGAAAAAAGCAAGCAAGACAGACAGACAGACAGACAGACAGACAGACGGACAGACAGACAGACAGACAGACAGACAGACAGACA